TGAGAAGCTACACGATATGAAGAACACCTAAAGCACTTACTGTAGTCTTTGATCAAAGACTACAGCCTTCAGTACAGATTACACTTCAACAGAAAGAAAACAAAATTCCTCACAACTGGACCAGTAAGCAACATGATAAATGGAGAAAAGATCAAATTTGTAAAGGATTTCATTTTACCTGGAATGAAAGCAGTGGTCCCATGGAAACAGTAGTCAAGAAATCGAATGACACGTTGCATTGAGCAAGTCTGCTGCAAAAGACCTGTTTTAAGTGTTAAAAAGCAAAGATGTCCCCTTGAAGACTAAGGTACACCTGACCCAAGCCACGGTGTTTTCAACTTCCTCATATGCATGCAAAAGCTGGACAACAAATAAGGAAGACCAAAGTAGAACTGATACCTTTGAATTATTGTTGGTGAGGAATACTGAATATACCATGGACTGCCAAAAGAATGAACAAATCTGTCTTGGAAGAACTACAACCAGAATGCTCCTTAGAAGCAAGGATGTCGAGACTTCGTCTCACATACTTTGGACATGTTATCAGGAGGGACTAGTCCCTGGAGAAGGACATCATGCTTGGTAAGGCAGAGGGTCAGTGAAAAAGAGGAAGACCCTCAAAGAGATGGACTGACACAGTGGCTGCAACAATGGTCTCAAGCGTAACAATGATTGTGAGGATGGTGCAGGCCTAGGCAGTGTTTTGTTCTGTTGTACATAGGGTCATTATGAGTTGAAACCAGCTCAACAACAACAATCATGTATCTGCAATTACTCAGCTACAACAATATTTTTAGGAAAAAAAAAAACTAAATGTTCATAACAATACATAACAAAAAAGCAATTAACATAACAAAAGTTAAATTTTAATTAAACCAAGTTATCAATGAACATGACTGTTGGAGTGAGAGATTGGTTACAGATGTCACATAAGAAGACAATCATGTATCTTAGATGGGGCAACAGTTTAGCGTGATCATCATATTTCAGGGTCAGAAATCCTTAATGTTGCAGTTTTTGAAAGAGTTGACTTTCAGACTTAACTCAGAGCTGATCAGCCTCAAAGAGCTGGCTTCAACCCACTCAATTCTCAGAACTTGCCGCTGTGGACAGGGGACAACTGTTTCAGTAATCAGCCAACTTATGTCTACTATCTAAGAAACAAAATTCCTAGTATTAAAATACCTAGAAAGATGAAATACTTATTAAAATCTAGATAGAAGCAGGGAATCCGCTTAGAGAAATAGGTACTATAAAGATCATTTGCAATCTATGATCTCAATGCAACCTATTCCACTTCTCTGACATGAACTAAGTTAAAAGAATTCAATTCCAATCCAAATCAATTCAATTCCAATTCAACTACACACACAGTTCTTCTTCCTCAGACCATAACCACCAGAGTTAGGTCAGATCTCAAGTTAAAGGGCACAGTATTCCAGACTCCCAGGTCTACCCAAGAACTCAGACACCAGTCAAAAGTTCGTAGGCTCCCAGGCCCCCTCACTTCTGACCTCTGTCTTCCAGTACTCCCTGGTGTTCAATAATTCCCTGGAAAGACTCACAGAACTCACACGACACTGTACTTATGATTACAATCTTATTATAGCAAAAAGGATAAAATGAAGAGAGGCATAGGGCAGGGTCTGGAAGGTTTCCCAGAGCTAAGTTTCCACGTCTCTCTCACCACCAACCAGGAAGCCCATGGAGCTTCCATGTCCATAGCCTTTACTGGTATCTCATTATGTAAGCATGACTGAATTAGTCACTGTCTCCCTCTCCCGCCTTGGGCTGATATCAGGAGTCATGTCTTTCTGGCCTGGCCAACCCCTAACAAGAGGTATCTTATTAGCATAAACCCTCAGGTATTGTTTGGAGACCTCATCAAAGACACTTCAATCACTGGGGAAATTCCAAGGTTTTAGAAGTTATCTTTCAGGGACCAAAGACAAAAGACCAAATTCTTTGGGTAAACTTAATTGCAAACACCACAGTAACAGAAACAATATTTTGGGGGTTCCTCTACCAAAAATTCCATGTAGTCCATTACTCTTCCTTGAACAAGGTCTTTCTTCACACTAGTAAAAACAAAATCAATTAGGCATTAAGATTCCTTAATAAAATTCATTCTTGCCTGCATCCCAGATGGAATTGGCCACTCCAAATATTGGTAGCTGAATATTAATAGACAGCCCCTGGTCACTACTACAATTGAAAACCTTACCCAAGTTGTGTTGATTCATAATAAGAGGACTCATTCACAGAAGACAACCAACCTTCCTTCCAAGTTCTGGAGACATTTACTTGGCCCTTTATATATTGCTTAATTAAAATCTAGCCTTATATTTTATAATGCTACAAATATCTTTCTAATGAAGAGTTCTTCAGATGATTCATATACTCCATGACTAGATTTCTTAAAGCTCTGATAACTAAGTAAGATAAAAACTATGTCATACATGTTTGCATCTCACTTTGTAAAAATTTAAAACACAAAAGCAATGATACTGTGAAGCTCCTCAAAAGAAAACTAGGTGGCCCTGGTATATCTAGGAGGTGACAGAGAAAGGTAGTGTTACAGGCATAAGAATTCTTCTTACTGAATACATTTCCTAAAATGCTGTAAAGAACATGGAGCCTTTATTAGTAAAGACATGCCCGCAATGGTGCACCCTAGCTAAGTTTCTTGTTTCGGCCACATTAGTCTGTAAATGCTTTTTTATATTTAAATATTTAAGAACAAAGAGGATGGTGATTATCTGAAGAATTCATGTCAACCTCTTTCAAAGCTCTGATCGATATTGATAGCTCCTTGTTATGTGTACTAGGAGCATCTGCTCAGTCATAAATAAGAGAACTCGAGGACAAAATCCATCGGTTTAGAAGTGATTAAGTATATGTGCAAAGTAGAGGATATCAGATTTCTGATTCATTTGTGCATATTATGAATTTATTTATCCACTGCAACAGCTCAGTGAAATTACCTGAGTGCTGAAGACTTTAAACCCAAGAAAGTCTCACTTCGGCAACTATCATAATTGCCTTAAGAAACAATGTCAAATAATATATCATCAACTCTTAATGATGCATGTGAACACAGCCCAGGGATATAGGGATAACTGGCATTCACAAATAATTCTCAAACTTCATTTTAACTAAGAGTTCAAGCCTCTTCCATGAATAAACCTCTTACATGAACACTGAATACAGAAAAATTGAATGGTTAAATGTTTACTTTTGTTATCCCCTGACTACCATGTGGTTGAAACACAATAGTCAACCAAAGAGAGAAAAGCACAGGGGTTAGATTATTCACACACTGGATAATAAAATCCTTAAAAGTCTACAGTTGCTTATATTCATAAATGTGATTATTCGAAGAAGGTTTGCAAATTGCCAAATGTTGGCAGCTGCGACTCAGTGATTTTTCAGCAAATTAAGTGAACCTGATTTTAACTGCTGAAAGCTGTGCTGTGTTGGAGTCCTATCATTTATTTTACAAAGATGTCTACAAAAAATTACCTCATTGTGTTCTCCTCATGTTAAACTACGTGTTTACAGAAACCATTTAAGTGCAAACAAATATGACACAATGCCAGGTTAGCATGCACTAACAAAGACATTGGATAACTGTATTTTTGATGTCGATATGTGCAGACAAAATTATTTGAATTATCTTTGAAATAAAAAAGGACTATTACTGTAAAAGACAGTCTATTACAGCTATGAAAACAGTATAAAACCTCATTTAAGACACTAAAGCATCCACATATTTAACTATTCAGGCTTATATTCTTGTAAAAATCCTTTCTGCATCCAATAAAATACTACATATTTTCTTTGATCTTTACAACTAAATTCTTCAAAGCTCCATGTACCTTGGATGTGTACCGCGCCTGAATCAGGACAGGTTAATAAGTTTGTCAAAGCGCATAAAAGGAATCAATGCTGGATCTCTGTAGTACTGAATTAAAGCTGGAGGAATCACAGTCGGACAAAAGGTATGATTAAGGGAGATTTAGGAGTTTCCTTGATATCTTTAAGAATAAAAGAGGTAACTATCTCCCTCCTATCTGTCTGACGAAAGGAGCTGTCTCTTATAAACCCTTCCCAGTTCTCCAGTATGATTAATCTACATGCCTAGAAGAGAGGAGCTGTAAACCTAACACAACAAATAGTGAACTTAACTATCCTGCGGAAACCCTGGTGGTGTAGTGGTTAAGAGCTACATCTGTTAACCAAAAGGTAAGCAATTTGAATCCACCTGGTGCTCCTGGGAAACTCTATGGGGCAGTTCTACCCTGTCCTATAGGGTTGCTACGAGTCTGACTCCACCGCAACAGGTTTGGTTTTTCTGGTTTAATTATCCACATGTGGATTACTCAATTTTTCCGATGCATCCACAGATAATCGCTCATCACTACCCGGTATCTTCCTCACATCTCTGAGTCTTGTCAGCTCACCAGGCCATTATTTGGGTGCTCAAGAAAAAATATAATTACTATTATTATTATTAAATAGCCAAAATTAAAATTACCTAGGAAGATGCTACTGCCAAAACAAATCATTAAAGCAATGAACAACTGGACAACTTTCAGGATCAAGGCTTGGGTATTTTGAACTCATTGAGGCCCTATGTCAGAGGTCTTTCACTAGTCTAAAGTTCATGAGGCGGTACTCTTAAGGCTTGAGGGACTGTTTAGGAAATCCACAAAGCGAAAGAGGGTTGGATCAATCTTCTGTGTCGGCTTAACATAAAATGCAATCTGAAGTTTACTGAGTGGTTACTAAGTGCGAGGCCCTGGAAGGGTCGTTTCGCAGCGCCTCTCAAAGAAACACAACTTACACACCTAACTGGTGAGAAACTCGGCTGGTAATTATCAGGGGACTCGGTGGCTTCACTCCCCAAAGGGCGACCCCACCGGGAAGTCTGCGCCCTTGCCCACAGCACCCTTCACCGCGGCCCGCCCCAGCTGGCCGCGCATAAGCGGGAAGGATACGCTCCAGGTAGTAGGCGCCTTCGGCGGCCACCGCTTCCGCGGTATCCGCAGCTGCTGTTAAGCCCATGCCCAACGCTTCTTCCAGGACCCGCAGAGCCGAGTTCCGCATCCCTTGCTGCGCGGCCATCACCTCAGCTCCACGCCCCCGCCCCCCGGCGGCCACCACCGTCCTTCAGGGTAACGGCGAAGACGCTTCCCGAAGGCCCCACGCAGCTCTCGCGAGAACCCGTTCCCCTCCACACTCTCCCCTTCCCTTCGGCCAGCTCGGTCAAGAAAGGGCTGCCCTGACTCTCTGCGCTCCTGCTCTCTGCGCTTCCCTGGTTACCAAGGCAACGCTGTTGCCTAGTTACCCCAAGAGCTCGGGACGCCACTCCTGAAGTAGACAAGCTAAAGATGGGAGAAACAGTGGACTTGGATTAACAATTTCTTAACGCCGCAGCTTGGTTATCTTCGTTTTGACCCAATCACTTCTTTCTCACTTCTCATTTTCTTTGCTAAATTGCCCTTCCCTTAGTTCTTACGTGCCCATCGTCAATCCCCGGATTTTAGATGCTAGCAAAGTTCCAGTTGTCCCTAGGGAAAACTCTTAGAAATGAAGAAGATCCTCAGCGCCTACAGAGGAAAGAAGAAAAAAAAAAGTCCTAGAAATCATAATTCTGAGACTGACCCAAGGAAGCTACCAAATGTCTCCTTAGATGCTGAGCAATAAGGAACTACGGGTAGTCACCTTAGTTAATTCCATTCTTGTCCTTTAAAGCATTTAGCGGAACATCTGTTTTGACTTTTGTTTTATCCACTGGGACTTAGGATAGTATTTGTAACATTGATTCTTGCCAGGGTAAAGCCACTCTCACAAGAATTATGAGGTACAACTGGGCCTAACATAATGTATGATAGATATTTGCCTAGTCATGTACAGCCCTTTTGATATAATAGAATCTTCGGGTTTTTATATTGTATGTATTGGAAGAAACTAGGAGACCCATTTCTTTGCAGATTGTTTTTCTCTTCTACATTTCTTGATAAAAACAAGATGCCAAACCGTGACTCATAATAAAAGCTTCCATTTATAACCAAAAAATAGAAGTGACTTTTTTTCCCCTTGTGGTAAAGTATATATAACGAAACATTTGCCAATTCAACAATTCTTATGTGTATAATTTAGTGACATTGATTATGTTCATCATTTGCAGCCATTAAGTTGTGACTTCTTAATGAGATGATTTAAGAGCCTGGGCATTGGCCAGAGAGTCTGAATTCAAAACCTGGCTCCACCACTTACAAGTTATGAAACCTTTAGCAAACTACTTAATGCCTCTAGACTTCAGTTTCCTCATTTGTAAAATGAGTACAATAATATCACCTACCTCACAGTGTCGTTATGAGGGTTAAAACAACATAAAGCATTGAGAACTTACCAGACACACGGCAAGCACTAAGAAACGTTACTTATTACATCTACTGGACTTAATTGTTTGCTTTCTTTTTATTTTTTACAATTATCAAGGGTCAAAATTAAGTATAAGAGTTGGAGAATTGGTTCCAAGTACAGCCAGAATGCTCCTTAGAAGTGAGGATGGTGAGAATTCATCTCACTTACTTTGCACATGTTATCAGAAGGGACCAGTCTGAGGAGAAGGACATCATGCTTGGTAAAGTAGACAGCAAAAAAGAGGAAGACCCTCAAGAGATGAACTGACACAGTGGTTGCAACAATGGGCTCAAACATATCAAGGATTGTGAGGATGGTGCAGGACCATTCAGTGTTTCATTCTGTTGTACATAGGGTCACTATGACTCTGTGATGGATCAGTTACTTTTGTGTGTGGCCATTCTAGCCATGGTCTTGTGATTCCCACCCAGGTGATTGTGCAATAGGATAATTTGGCCTACCAAGGGGGGATTGGCCAGTTTTGCCTTAAAAGAGAGCCAATTCCAGAGCAGGGAGGAGGAGCTCACCACCACCAAGGAAAAGAGAGATCCGATAACAGAGACTAGTCAGCAGGAGACAGTGCAGGGGGCTTCTCAGCCCACTGAGAGAGAAAACTGAGTGCCTTTGGGCAGAGACGGAGGGCTAGAGAGATACATGCCTGCGAGCACAGCTGGGGAGAGGCTTTCCTGATGAAAGAACTGTATAATGAGTGTTTCTGAGCCTGAATTGTAACTGTTACTTCCCTTATGATAAACTCCATAATTGTGAGTATGGACTTTTGAGTTCTGTGTGGCCACTGCGACGAATTATCAAACCTAGCAGAGAAGTAGAGTGCTGTGTGAGGGATGGTTGGTGTCAGAATTAGTAAAGATGGCAGAGAGAGGATGCTTGTCTGGCTTCCATCTCATGGGAGTCAGCCTTGCGCTATTGATCTTGGTTCTCCTTCCCCCTTGTGGGGTTGAAGGAGGTCAGACACTGCCCTCAAGCCATTTTTTTTAATTGTGCTTTACGTGAAAGTTTACAGTTCAAGTTGGTTTCTCATACAACAATTTCTACACACATTGCTATGTGACCTAGCTGCTCTCCCTATAATGTGACAGCACACTCCTTTCCACCCCGGATTTCTCGTGTCCATTCAACCATCTCTTGTCCCTTTTTGCCTTCTCATCGCACCTCTGGAGAGGAGCTGCCCATTTAGTCTCATATATCTACTTGAACTAAGAAGCATTCTCTTCACGAGTATCATTTTATGTCCCATAGTCCAGTCTAATTTTTGCGTGAAGAGTTGGCTTTGGGAATGGTTTCATTTCTGGGCTAATGGAGAGTCTGGGGTCCGTGTCGTCCAGGGTCTCTCCAGGGTCCCTGGGCTTTTTACTAGAACTTGAGTTCTGCACCCTACTTTTCTCCTGCTCCATCAGACACTGTCTGTTGTGTTCCCTGTCAGGGCGGTCATTGGTGGTAGTCAGGCATCATCTAGTTCTTCTGGTCTCAGGCTGATGAAGTCTCTGGTTTATGTGGCCCTTTCTGTCTCTTGGGCTAATATTTTCCTTGTGTCTTTGGTGTTCTTCA